TAAGAGCAGCCTTCCAAAATTTCTAATGAGTATGGTAATAATTTACTATCTGTGTTCATGTGGAAACAAATGAGCTGGTTTATGTTATCAAGAAGATGCTCAGTTGGTGAAAGAACAACACTTGTTGCCACAGAGGAAGGGAGCAGCAATCCAACGGGAGACAGTCTTCTCTTAGCCTGTTTGGAAAGCCATTAAAATTAGATTTTCCGAATTATGCCAATTAATGGGGTGATGTGAATGAGATTAACTAAAGGTTTTATAGTACTTTTAGAGTTAGGGCAGAAAGAACCATTTTCTTTTGTTAATATCTCTCCCTGTGAAAGATAGCATTTATGGAAGATTGACCTGGCCAGTGTGCTTTTCTTGGTGTATACTGTTTAGGAATGCAGTGCATAGTTTCCTTTGTTGTACAGCATTATATTTCTCTTAGTAATTTTTTTCAGTTTTGGTCTATACAGACCAATTTCCTTAAAGAAAAGTTCATACTGAAGTTTAAATCTGAGTGGGTGCTTTTGTACTCTGATTCAGCAATCCAATGAAAAGCACAAGTCTGACATCTCTGAGAGACAGAGCAAAAACTGTGGGTATGGAGGGAGTTAAAAATTGTCATAGGAAATATGCACTCACTATAGAGGGTTTTGCAACAAATAATTCTGCAATAGCAAGTCTCAGTTCATTGAAACAGAAGAGATGAGCAATCACCGTTTCTTACTTCAAATTAGAAGGCTGAGCCATATGAACCATATGAAGTTCAATAAGGGCAAGTGCCAGATTCTGCACGTGGGACCAGGCAACCCTGGTTGTGTGTAGAGACTGGGAATGAGATGCTGCAGAGCAGTGCCATGGAACGGGACCTGGGGGTCCTGGTCAATGGCAAGTTGGACATGAGCCAGCAGTGCCCTGGCAGCCAGGAGGGCCAACCCTGTCCTGGGGGCATCAGGCACAGCATGGCCAGCTGGGCAAGGGAGGGGATTGTCCTGCTCTGCTCTGAGCTGGGGCAGCCTCACCTCCAGTGCTGGGGGCAGTGCTGGGTGACACAGTATAAGACATTAAACTGTTGGAGAGTGTCTGAAGGAGAGCAACAAGGATGATGAAGGGTCTGGAGAGGAAGCCACATGAGGAGTGGCTGAGGTCACTTGTTCTGTTCAGCCTGGAGGAGACTGAAGGGAGACCCCACTGCAGTCTGCAACTTCCTTGTGAGGGGAACAGGAGGGGCAGGCATTGATGTCTTCATTCTTGTGACCGGTGACAGGAGTCAAGAAAAAGGCATGAAGCTGTGTCAGGGGAGGTTTAGGTTGGATATCAGGGAAAGGTTCTTCACCCAGAGGGTGTTTGGGCAGTGGAACAGCTCCCCAGGGTAGTGATCACAGCACCAGCCTGGCAGAGATCAAGAAGTGTTTGGACAACTCTCTCAGGCTCATGATGTGGTTCTTGGTGATGGTGCTGTGCAGGGCAAGGAGTTGGACTTGATATTCATGATGGGTCCCTTCCAACTCAGCATATTCAGTGATTCTATGGTTTTCTGAATATAGAAACTCTGATGAAGATGTGACTGTTTCTTGCCAAGATAGTTTGAAATATAATTACCGCATAATTTCATCTATGTGAAGAAAGAGCTACAGCTTTTAAAAGCTTCTTCAATGTTCCCACTAAGTATGATCCCGATTTTCATTCACACACAGACCTCTTGAATTTTTTTCATAAAAGAAGGAACTGAAAAGAAAAAAAATGGGATTAATATCAGATACTATCTCTTTTTGTCTGAAAGCAAGAGCATTCCCACCAAGGAAGGGACAGAACAAGAATTTTAAAAGCTTTGGATTTCAGGTTAGAGGAGAAGATGTCAAATTTAATCAACTGCAAATCAATGTTTAAGAAATTGTTCCTCCCCTGAAACATCAATGAAGAAGACAAGCTGAGGGCAGACCTAATTCCAGCCAACTTATAGGAATGCCTGAGTATATCCTGACCTTCACAATCTGAGCTCTGAATTGTAAGTTGTGTATCCAACTACTTGAGTGGAACCCAGAATTTTGAACCTGTGAAAAACCTACTATAAAAATATACTTTGCAATAGTGCCCTAAAAGAAAATTCACAAAAGTGATTCAGAAAATACATCTAAGACAAATGCTTTGGGATATTTTCAGACTAGTTGCTATATGAATATTCCTGAACTGTGGAGGTTGTGTAACTCCAGCTTAAGATCTCTGAATATGGGACAATCTGGGGACATTTTTTTATACAGTTTAAGCTGCAGCATAATTTACTGAAGGTGAAGGATAAGATTGTGCTCTCAGGGTAGATTGCTCTTTCAGACTTTCTCAACTGGCAGTCTGTCTTGTTCACAAAGGAGTGCTCTGAGAATGGTCCATGAGGTGAGGCAACCAGCCACAACTGGGTGCCATCACCCAGGGAATGTTCCAGAGCAGAAGGTTTTACACTGGATCTTCTCCTGACCCAGAGAGGAAGCACAAAAAATGGATTGCATGGGATAGAGTGGCTTGGCCAGCACCTGGTGTCCAGCCAAGGTCAGCCCAACAGGGTGCAGCTCAGCACACATCGCTAAGGATGTGCAATATTCCTGCACCTGCTTGGCACAAGGATCTTTTGGGGTTCTTTGTACCCATAAAAAGGAATTCAATAAACTTAGAAATGGCCATCAACTGCTCTTGATTTATTTTTAACATGACACGTGGCCTAAAAGTAAGAGGGAAGATTTTGCAGAAAAATGTCTTTGCTGATATGCACTGAGAATTTGCAGATAACTTGTTTCTTTAGTATATACACAAAGATGTAAGAAATCAGAGGTACTTTCTGAATTATGATCTCATTCTCAGACTGAGAAACCAAGTGTCAGGACCTACATATTATTTAATGAATTTCAAGAACCTGTTCTTTACGAGAAAGCTAACAAGTCATTTTCATCATGATGCAAATCTTTTTAATAGTATTATTCTATGAGCCAGATTTTTTTTTTCCCTTAGAAGTGTAAAGTAAGTAGAATAGAATGTAATCATAAGCAACTTTCATTAACATTTGATCACGAAGGTTTCCTGCCATGCTTGTTTGAGAGCTGAAATGTTATCCCAATGAAGGTCAGCTGGACAATTTCTGAGGGTTAGAGGCTGATTCAAGCAGTGCATCTAATACAGGGACGTGGAATCTATCACAAGCCACAGCAGTGAAGGAATCTTCAAAGGACTAATTGTCTATCAGTCCTGGATCATTTGCTTGTAACCAAGTTACAGTTCACAAAACAAGTGAAAATAAAAGGTGTGATTAGTATCTTGCACTTTTTCTTCTGTGAAGAAATAGTATAAAATATCAATTGATCTTAGTGCCAGCCCTGACCTGAATCAAAGAATACAGATATATTTTACAGTTTTGGATTTGTGTAACTGTCATTAAAATTCCATGATGTTAGACTCGGATGAGGAGGCCATTGATTTTTCAGAAGGCTGGATGCTCCATAGTGAATAGTCAGTGTGAAGAAGAGTGGCAAGAGTGAAAGCTTACAGATTTAGCTCAGAAAGTTTTAAGATTTCAGCTGTTACATGCAGAAATCTAATTTGGGAAACTTTGAGAAGTGATATTTCACTATATTAAGCTTGTAGTTTGGACATACAAAATATTTTCTGCAAACATTGTAGAGATGAAAAGAGAGAAGCTTCTCTGTAGATCCCTCCACAAACATTCATGCAATTTAGAAAAGATTGTAGTACTTTGATCATAAATTGACAATTTGGGCCTTCAAACCACATGCTAAATGAAGTTCTCCACAGAAGTTCAAAAGCAAAAACTTTGTTGGATTTATAACCAAGTGATTATTTAAAAGCTGGAAAGAAAATGGAAAGAAATATGTCAATGAGCTCACACAGACTGTCTCATGCAAAACTCATGAAAAATACTCAGTAAAAGAAGTGCCATTGCATATACTGATAATCCTGCAAAATTATTCTGCCAATGGGATTCATCCATTCATTTTCTTTCCAGAAATCAACTTTACAGACATTAAATAATCTACCTATTACAAAATTCCATGGAAACGTACAACGTTGTTCTCAGTTATGTTTTTGAGCTTCAAACTGATTGAGAGAAAAAATATATATTGTTGGAGGGAAAAGAGGAAGAATGTTTTTGTATATCCAGCTGTGTTCAGAATTTACCATTGTCTCAAAATTGCTCTTTTCAATGCTGCAAGGGATTGAATGCCACTAACTTAATTTACTTTATTATTGGAAACAAACAAAAAAAAATGTATAGAGTTACTTCCTTTATTTTACAAGTCCAGGTAAAGATGCCCTAAATTTTCAGGTCTAACCAGGCAGAGATTTTTCCACCCTGGCTAAGATGGCAAATGGCAGAAGGCAGCATAGTTATGTCTGTGGTGTTGTGCCAGCTGAGCAGGCATGCCAGGGGATGACTTTGTGGGTCCAGGGAACCTGGATCCTTTTATGACCCAACCAAATAGTCCAGATTAAACTCATGGATACTGCTGATGAATAGTGTCAGATTTGATTCTGCTGTTGAAGATGGATTTGCTGTATTTGAACCCAGTTTATGAAAAACCAGTACTGCCGAGTGTAAGAAGGGCACAAACTGACCTCCCTGCTTTTATCTGGTGGTAGCCATCACTCCAAAATGTTAATTTCTGCCCAGCTGACCAGACTAAAGTGTTTTAATTAAGCCAAATTATATGTTCTGAACAACTTTCATTATGAATTTGGTCCTCTTTCTGGTACGTTATTTTCTGAATGCTGACACTGATTTTCAGAGAATATTTTTTTGAGCCATTCCTTCAACTGATCTTAGTCAACAGAGCTCCTTGAAGTTATTGTTGATAAGTTCATATATATCAGATGAGCATCCTGACTTAGAATTTCTTTTTGTGCTACGTAATAATGTAAACTCATTTTTTGCTTGTTGCACATTAGATCCACCTGTTCCAAAGAGGCATTTCTGGAATGTTTTTATATCTCGCCGTTTTGTTTTTCTCTAGGCTCTTGAAAAAGGAAGAAAATTTTATTTTTATCCCTCGTTCCCGTGAAGAGCTTCCAGAAAACTTTCCAAAGGAAATTCCTGGGATCTGTTACTTCCTGGAGGTCAGAAGTGGTCAGAAGCCGCCAAAACCTTCCGTGACATCTGCCAGAGTGAGGAAGGTGTCTTACAACATCGGCACCATGTTCCTCCGGGAGACCAGCCTATGAGGCCAGCTGCAGATCAAAGACTCGACAAAAAAGCACAAGCCCAGAACTGGGTCATGACAGGGGAGTTGGAGGTTCTTTGTGTTTCACTGCCTTCTTCTGAACAGGCAGTGAAAAGCTCCATGTAATGTCAGGCAATAATCATTTTAAAAGGTGGGTAACTGCTGTCAGTAAACAAAGTGGAGATAGGGAAAAAATATTTAAAAATGTACTTCCGCTTCCAGAGGAATTTCTTTCATAAACTTCAGTCTGGCCCCTCTATGGCAAACAAAACAACAAAACAAAACCCCAACTCTCAAATTGGAGGTTGGTCTTGTTTTGTGCAGAAAGGATGATGGTTCTCTGTAGATTTGCACCAGCTAAGCAGAATTGAGAGTCAGTTCTGATTATGCATTCCTATATTTAATGTGTTCTTCAGTAAGGTAATGATGTTTTTTAACTTTATGAACAAGCATTTCATACATATACTGTAGAGCTATTGTAACCTTCCTGGCAGGAGGAATTATGACTCAATACAAATATTGTAGGAATTTTACCTATTTTTATACATATTTCACTTTCTGGATAATTACATTCCACATACTGTAAGTTGAGTGAGCTTAGATAGCTTTCCAGAAGAAGTTACTGTATATTTCATACATTCTACCTATCAAACCTTATTGTTATACAAGTGGGAAGAAGGCATTTCTTGACTTTTTTGGCAACAAAAAATCAGTATTTACAGAATAAAAACCCCACTTTGGTCAATCACTTTAACTGGTTTTTATGCTAAAGCTTTAGATGAGCACTGTCTTCTTATATAAAATAATGTTCAGTATTTGTCCTACAGTTTTGTATGTCCAGTCCTTCCAGGACAATGTAAACAAAGAGCAGAAGGTCAATGTGTGGACAAACAGAAATGGGACTTTTTTTCCCTCTAAACTGTCAGCCAAACTGATTTTCAGTAGAAGCCCTTAACTCCTCTAAAAATTTGGTCTTGTGAAAACTTATTCTGAGGAATCCCAGCAGACACTGGAAGCTCTCTGGATGCTGGTTTTCCATATTTTTTCATAGGACTTGTGCTCCTAATCGAGATTGATTATTGAAAATCCATTCTGTTAATAATGATGGCTCATTTGGAAACTTGGATTGGCTGAAGGTCCCCTGCTTTATCTGGTGAAGATCAAAAAAACACCAAAAAAGGGAAAGGCAGTACTTTCCCAGGTTTAATGCAAATGGCAGTTCAAGATTTTTGTTAGTCCAAGACAATAAAATTTTTACAAAAAGGCCAATTCTTTGCTGTTGAAAATTAATATAGTATTATTGTCTTCATTTACTCAAATTTGAGCAAGATGTGTATCTGGCACATTTTCAGACATTGCTTAATTCTCAGGTTTTCTTTTTCAAAAGTAATGGTGGTCAGTTATCCTGTGTGGGTGTGCTGCCTTGGATCATACTGGGGTGGGGGATATTGTGGGCTTGCAATTGTTAGTTAAAATCTGTGCTGTGATTCCAGAGTAGCTTAGCTGTATGTGAGCCTTTAATCACTTTAATCAAAGGTAAGACTCAGCAGCAACTAGAAGGCATGAGAAACTCTGCATTTCTCTAATCCAGAACAGAAATGAGCTTGCTTATGGATTTAGTAGTCATAACATGAGGCACCTCTTGAAAATAAGTAAATAACTTTCACCACATTTTGAGATTATCCAGCTGGATCTTTCTGTGAAGGGAATGACAGTTCTCTGTTTCTGCCCTTTTACCAGTAGCCCCTGTGAATCAGCATGGCAATCTAGCCTGTGCTGAATATGTTTCAGGCTTCCTTTCCATGAAGCCTTTCTGGATGAGAAAGAACTGTCTTGGACCTTTTCAGACTTCAGCATATAGAGAACATCTGAACTTACTGTGCAAGGGTGAGTTTTTCCTTGCCTGAGAGGGTAGATGTATGGGAATTAGCCCAGAAACTTATTTTAATGCAAATTCCCTCACTTTCTGCTGGGATACTGATGTTAAAGATTTCTTCCATTGGTATTAAAGCATTCTTGGGATTAGAGGAGTTATTTTTTTTCTACCTTGATAAACAGCATATGGACTTCTGTGGCCTATCTGAAAAATGAGTTACAAAAACTGTTCAAGCTTGAGGTTGTGAAATTTCCATCCAAACTACAGATCTGAGAAGTTCCTGCACAGGATGACAAGTTTTAGCCTATAGCCATTAGTTTGCACACACACAGGATGTAGCATGCATTTTTTACCCTGGGAACACCAGTGAGATGTGTAAGAATCGTAAATGGATCAAAGTTCATGTTTCACCACTGAAAGAGGAATGCCACTTCCCAGCTAATAAATCCATAGTTGTGATGTCATGACTTAGTTCCCTAGAGTGAATTTTTTTCCAAATAGCCATTAGTAGATTTAGATTTCAGTCTGACTTCTCTGGCACATCTTCATTGTTCAGTAGGTGCTGATGTCAGAGTCCCAACCTCTCTGGCCAAGCTCTTTTTCTCTTCTTACCACCCACAGTTCTGTGTGAAGACTACAAATGTAGAGGTTTAGACCAAAAGCTTGTAGTTCAATAACTTGTCTCTTACAGCTGCCAATAAGAAATGTCTAGGTTAATTCTGTACCTGATCTAGATCAACGGAAACATTTTTCATAGTAAATGATGGATAAATGCTAGTTTTACTGGCAAATTGGAGTAGCAATCAAAACCAGTTTGTATCACCATCCTTATGCTCTCAGAGACTTTTTGTCGTATAAAGAAATCTAAAATCAGAGATCTGTGTGAGAACTGAAAATTGATATTAGTATCACCCTGAATACATTGACAGTGTTTGCAAATCATCATCTATTTCCCCAAATTAGAGTACACTGACTGTATAAAAATATGCAGTCTTTGTTTTTCATAAGCTTATGTAAAGGTAACATATCTAGAACTGCAGCACAGATGCTAAGTATTGTGTTATTTGTGTTATGATGAAGCATCTTAATGAAAATAGTGTGGGCCCTCTGGGGACATTTTTCTATGTCAACGTGAGGAAAGCATAAAACCAATTCTCAGCACTTACTAAATTAGTAGTTGCATCTGCTGCCTTTTGTATTAGGTTGCAAGCTTATTTTATTGGGCCCCTTTACAAGGTTAAATGAAACTTATTATCAAGATTGATGTTTTCATGTCAATTAGGTGGTAGTCAGACAACATTTCTCCAATAACCCTTACTTTTAGTGATAGGGAAAAGGTTCTCATTTTCCTGGAGTTGTCTTGATAAATAGAAAGATTCTCAGAATTTTGTACCTTGAGGTGATGAGGTAGAGAGGTTAGAGGTGCTGAAATGGTTATAGAAATCATATACTCTAGCTGGAATTTTCTTTCAGCTTTTTACATCCTGAAACAGATGATCTTTGATTCCTCTAGGTAAGAATTTACATTCTGTGTTTCTTCACGTAGCTGCAAGTAGCCACATTTTCTGTCTTGAGTTTCTGTGCAGAACAAATCCACCCTCTCTGAAGAGAGGGGGATCTATTTTGTATTGCATGTACAAGGCAAAGGGAAGGTGATGTGAGGAGCCCTCCTAACTGGGTCCATCAATCTCTTTGTGGATGGTTTCTTGTACAAAAATAAGGAGGCCAAAGTAAAGAGAGTCCACAATCATTTCCCCAGAACACTTTTAACAGATCTTGTGTCAGATTTTTTCCATCTGCTTGAAGCTCCCCATCACACAGGCTTTTCTGTTATGCAGTTCATAGAGATCATGAACTCAGAGCAAAAAGGAAATAGTGATGAAGTGGTAGGGTGGTGCATAAATTATGTTCTGCATCCCTCTGGTAAAATTTGCCATTCAAAGACAAAAGCCTCTGCATGGGAGAATTACTGCTAAGCCAGGACTCTGAAAGTGTGGTTTTCTTGCAGGATCCCAAAGGATATTTCATTTTTAATTCCAAGGAGCCAATAGTCATTAACTGTGATTGTGGTTTTGGCTTCTCTGCTCATTCCCACATACAGTTTCAGATCTGAGTGTTTTGAAGCCTGGAAACATGCCTCTGCAAACAGAAAACCAAAGCTCTTAAAACCTTGGAAGTCTTGTATGGGAATTGCCTGTTTTGAAGAAATCCTTGTGATTGAGTCATTAAGAGTCTGTGGCAGTTCATGTGTGTGCACATACCATTTCACAGTGCTATCTCCTCCTGTCCTTACAGTGTTCCCTACCCAGCCCAATAGCAGCATTGGGCATGTTTAACTTCCATTTTTCCTGTGTAAAGCAAGCAGTGGAAAACCATGACACACTGCATGCGTTTAAAAGTATCAGCATTGTGCTAAGATGTAAACTCTGATAAGCAATTTCACATTGTGTGTTTCTTGCCCTGAATAGATCCTTCTCTCAGGCAATTTAAAAATGAATGGGCAAAAAATAGCACCCAAAACTGCTGTGTTGAATTGCAAATGAGTCTGAGACCTGCACTGGTTGTTAGGGCAAGTTGAATTGCTGGACAGCTTTCTGATTCTTCAGCTGCCACAAGCTGTCACATGTACATGCTTCATGTAGATGGTCCTGTCCAGCAGCAGCATTCTAAACTTAGAACATCTGAGTTTTCCTCTTCTAGTCTCACCTCTGCTGAGTGCTCAGAGCTCACTGAGGAGAGCTAGTTCCCTGTCCAAATGCCGTCTCAGAGCTTCTGGCTTCCTTTCTGGATTCTGGTGATCTTTTGCAAAATTGTGCATGTGTAGTATTGGAAATAGCAGTGTGCTTAAATTAGCAACAAAACAAGAAGCTTAAAAAAGCTTGTCAAACTCAGAGACAGTTGGTTCCTTTCCCTCAAGGTAATACATTATTCATAATGCTGTGCAGGATTGAGGGTGCCAGTGACAGGAGAGGCTATGGATGAATTGAAGATGCTGAGTGTGCAGTAGACTCAACAATTAGGAGTTGATCGGCTTCTGCTACTGTTAATAATTCCATCATCTTGCATGCTATGTCCTGCTCTTGGTCAGGGTTCTGCTCTCCAAAAGACCTCCACTTTCCTTCCCTTAGCACACTGTATATGACGTGGTGAATAATTCCTACTGTTGTTCTAATTATCATATACTGTTGACATGGCTGCTTATATCTAAAGAAAAACTGGGGTTAAAGGGCTGATCTTACTCTTCTTGCAGCAAAGACAAAACTGCTGCAGTGACAAAGCAAACACTCACATCCTTGGAGAGGGAAAAGACCACAGTGCAAGTTATCACTGGTGGGTTTGGGTGAACTCAGTGCATTAATAGCCCGTGGCATGCTTTTAGCTTCAACAAGCACCAAATTTATCTGTGTGGATAGGAGTTACTCCTTAACGACGCTATTAATTTGCAATGCATGAGTAGGCTTACAACAAAAATCTGTGAAGTGTTTAACCTCATATACATGATTGATCTTTTGTGGCTTGGCTGTTAATCATGCTTGAAAGCAAGAGAAACAGTGAAACTGAGGAATGCAGCAATTCAGTCACAGGCAATGGATCATTCACTTCTGCAGATGCTAACTTGCTCCTGTGGCTTAGAAAGGTTGACCTCCAGTTATCTGTGGTCCAGGTTAGTGTCACTATAGCAACAAAATGGCCTCTGAAAACATCATGAGGCATCTCAGCCTGCTTCCCTCTGGGCTGGGGTTCACATTAGAGAGCCCAGTACAACATGTGATGCAAAGTGGCAACTTTGCTGGCAGACTTAACAAAAGGATCAATGGAGGCAGATGTTAAACCAGCTGTTTGCTCCAGGGATTTTAGTTTCCAAAGGCAGAGTGAGGCTGAACGTGTTTTAATTCGGACAAGAAGAGAGGATTTCAGAGAAACAAGTGTCTTCCCTGGCTAGCAAGGAGGCAGTGGAATTAACATGAAACCAGAGGGACATGCAGATTACCTTGGCTGCAGCAGCTCCTTCAGCTGTCTGGCCCTCTTTGGCATCCAGCAATCAAGTTTCTTTTGAAAACTGGAGGACAGGTAAGCACTTCAGGCCCTTGTCCCCTCTGCTTTAGAAAGAGAATGAGGCTCCCTAAGTTCTTGAGTGTGCTTAACTTTCTCAGTGACCACAGATGGCAAACTTAGACTAGACATCTGTCTTTTAAGATGTCCAAGATAAGTGAGACTGATCCCACTGAATTACATTCTTTTCAGCCCAAGTGCTGTGTCTCAGATCTTCTGTTGTGCTGCTTTCCAGAATCTTGCACTGGTCAAAATAAATTGAATCAAACTAAGTGTCAGAGGGATAGATAAGCATATTCTAGGATAAATAAAATGATACCACTGTAGCCATGGTGACTGGAACAAATGTGGGCTACTGCAGTTTTGCAAATCCCTCCTCGTGTCTGAACCCTCCCTTTGCATATGATACCAGCACTGCCAATCACACCTCTGGGATGCCATTAGGAGTGTGATTTAGAAAAGGGTTTTGAGCTTTGAGCCCCTAGCTCAGTTATGCAGAACCTGTGTGCCACGTTCACCTGTACTGTATGCCAGAATGCCTGCATAAACATGATCCTGTAGTCAAGGTGGTAATAACATAAATGGATTCTAAAGAACAGAGAGATAGTTGCTAGGTTATCATTAACACACATTTTTTGTGCTTTTGTGAATTTGTAGGCCCAAAATTATCTTTTCATTAGCAAAAGGTCTCACATTGAGCTACTTGTTTTCTAGGTAATTATTCTGTAGCAATACTCTCTAATGACTACTCTTGAAGCAATAAAGAAAGCCATGCTAATCTCTTCTGTGTAGGCTCCTGTGCAACACCTATCACCTTAACAAACTTCTTTTCAGTAGGACATTAAATGGCAGAATAACACCCTGACATGTACTGTTTGTCCTTCCATCCTCTTCCTCAGAGGAGAAGAGCATATAATGGGATAGTTTGATTTCTTGAGGTGGTGTTTTTTTGTTAGTTTTCTAAAAGTATATGTTGCTACTTACTTAAATAAAGAAGAGCAGAATCAGAATTATAGACCAGAATTAGGAAAGAGCTTTGGATTTAAACAGTATTTTAAAAGACTGCCCACTGAGTAAGACTAGTCTCACATCCTAGAAACATGGGAAGAAGTGTGGGTAATAGATGTAAGATATACCCGGGAATGATAAATAGGAGTAATAAACCAAGAAGGTTTATGCAATGGATGACTTCTGTGTAATACACAACAGTAAATAGATGCTAAAACTGATTAATACCCACAGAGGGCAAATACTGTTTAATCAATTTTGGCATTTGTTTATTACCATTACATCCCTAAGGTATTATTTTTTCCTTCCCTAATGAGATTAGAACATACTGTTAAATCAATATCAGAGTTTCTGAACTTATTGCAAGCTTGGGAATAAATAACCATCAAGGAGAGATTTTTTTAGATGTGAGCCATTGCATGAGAGAACAGATCATGTGGAAAAGAAAAAGGAGGTACTGACAGATATATTTATTTTAGAAATTTCTATGGCACTTCTGATTGATTAAAATAATTCTAAAACTGTGCACTGAAAGCAGGGATTCCCAGTTCAGATTATTTGCATTTCCTATGAAGAAGCAGGTAAAATTTTTAAAGTCACATTAAGGGGCATACTTCTCAATTCTATTTTCTCTGCTTAAACACAACCTCTTTTTGAAAGTTGAATCTTACTTTGCTGAATGATCCTGAGGTTCTAAATGCCTAAATAAGTTTTGGAAATGTGGTTTAGAAATCCCCCTTCTAAGTTAAGTCACATGAGCTTGTCAGTATTTAGGTGTGTAAACATTCCTCTCTGGAAACTTCTTGTAGGTCCTGCAAGTGTATAAATAAGAAGCATCTGAAGAAAGTGAAGTTTGTGTGTAGGAGAGGGCAGCTGTACATAGATGTGTTGCTAATGTTAGCTTTCATCTATCTGGAAGCTGGATGGTGCAGAGATTATTCATACAAAGTGCAAGAAAGTATTGCACATAGTGTCATGAACTCTGAGGGTGTAAGGTTGAATTTTAGAGTCTATAATCCTTACAGTTTTAATGGAATTGCATGAGAAATGCATGATTTTTGAGTTTTTTATTTTAAGTTAGTGTTGAATACCTACTTACAGAGAAAAATTGTGGGGGGGAAAAGAATATCTAGAAAGTCTAAATGCAAAACACAAAGAGTGTCCTGCTTTTATGTATTATTTGGCTTTTCTGGAATTAGAAGTACTCCATGAGTTTCAATACTGAACACAAAACTAGATATAAAACAGGGCAAGTGGGTACTTTGCCAACTGGAAATTTGGAGGTGGTAGTAAGAATGTCTTTTTAAAAGTATATAGGGATAAATGTTAGCACTTTAAAAAAAATGGAGACTGCTTTGCTCTGCAAGTATTGTTTAGAAATACCTAATCAGAAAGAAAGCTTGGAATACTGTTGCATCATAATAAAAAGGTACAAAGTCTATGAGATAATCTGCAGTTCACATCCTTCCTTCATAAACAGTCCTCTATATGGAGTTTTCAAATGCACGTTCAACCAAGAGTTGTCTGTAGTAAATTTCCAAGGAAGTAGTATCTTACCCAGCAGCTTCTGCAGAAAAGCCATGCAGATCATGTTGGGTAAGGCCAAAATTTAACTCAGTTGTTTAGAGCTTAGTAAGAAATACAGAGGCATCCCAAAGCCAAGTTTAAACGTGCTTACTGACAGGACAGCATTGTGCTTTTTATTGAAGTCTAAACAAAACCCATTCTAGACAAAACTCCCATCCTAATACATGACATTTATACTGTCTTGCTGGAAAATTATAACTTCACTAAGTTGCAGCCATTAATGTCTTTGATGCTAGAATATTCCTTATTATTCTTATGTCTCACTGTGCCCAAGCTGCAGTGGGGTCCTCTGGAGAACCAAGGGTATGGGTAGTTGCTGTAAATATGAGTGAAATTCAGCTGATCTGCATTTAAGTATCTAAAACTTATGTCTGGTCTGAGCTGCTCAGGTCAGTTCCCTCCACGGTCAGTGCAGACATCCTGGCATCTCAAAAGATTGAGCTGTCCTGAAGAAAGTCTTGGGAATGAGATAAATCATTGCCCTAGATATGCTCTTCTCTTTCTTCCCCAGTGACCAGTGTGTGGAGGTGCAGGACTAGTTCAGATTAGCTGCCATGCTGCAGGTGAGATGAATTCCACTTCTGTTTAAAATGAGAGGATGTAAAGAATAGAACAGCAAATACAAATGGAGACAAAGATACTGGGGCAAGGGCCAGGCTTCAGCCAGAGATTCAAAGGGAAGTGACAGTATTAATATTTAAGAGTTTAGAAGTCTGGGTGGGGGGTTTATTCTAGTTATAAGAACATTCCTTTCTTGAAACTATCAATCTGTGATTGTTGCTAACTCCCCACTTCTGCTCTGAGATAGCAGTAGTGTATTATCTGATGTATTCACCAAGACCCATCTCTCCAAGCCATCATGTTATTTACTGCTTGATTCCTTCTTGGAATAGCTCCTTCATCCATCCATCCATCCATCCATCCATCCATCCATCCATCCATCCATCCATCCATCCATCCCAGAAATGTTTTTGTTTTTTTTTTAACATTGAAATGATAGATTTTCCTCACCAATTTTTTTTTTCTTGAAGCAGTACATAGGTCAGTGTCTGCAATCACTTGTGAAACAAAGGGGAGCAGAGGGTGAGGTGCTGGCTGGACGTTCTCTCACAATGATCAGAGTTACTAAAGCTTCTCTTTGACCCGTCCTGGATCATACTTGTGTTGTTATGCACCTGGAGTACCCAGATTCTCCAAGAGGAGCTTGTGTAGGCTCTGAACCAGAGCAGGGTGGGAAGGAGCAGGGCTGTCACCCTGCTGCACTGCTCCCATGTGCCTCTCTTCTGTTTGCAGTGACCATTCTGATCCTTAGACATCTGTGGTGATTTTCACTGCTGTCGTGGCCCGTGGGAAAGTTCCTCTTGAGAAGAATCAACAGTATGCAGTCCTCCACACTGTGAACTGTTACTCTCCAGAGAAAAGGATTAGAAATAGTATTGTCCTCAAGAGCTGAGAAAACTTGCAGATTTTCCATGCACAGTGAACAGTTTCCATAATTAGCAGGAAAACAGAACAGAGAGGCAGAGTTGTGCAGCAGGGCCAGCCCATCTCATGCACACTGCTGTGATAATGAAATCCAAACCCTGTGGAATTGCAGGCACATTATTCTCACTTGCTTTAAAGGTCAGCTAAGAAGCTGATTTCTCAAACAGGCTCATAGCTCTGAGACAACATAACGCTAGTCATTTCTTCCAACAAATTGCAGTTGTCAGAGAAACTGGATTAGTAGCTCATGGAGCTAAAAATAGACACTATGGGCTTGCCAGAGAAAGGTGAATTCAGTAACAGAGGTGAAGATACATAAAAATGTCATAACATCTGGAGAAAATGCAACAAAATGTGCTCAACTGAAAGCAAGTTAGCCATAAAATTACATTAAAAACAATTGCAATCACAAAAAATTACAAGGTTTAGTCTTGATTCTGTTTTATTCACTTTCTAAATCCACCTTATAGTTTCTGTTTTGTCTGCTGAATCAGTCCCTTCAAAGTTCAGTACCTCAAAGTATGCACTGAGAGTCAAGTTAAAGCCATTATTTGAATACTGAAAAAGAAGGTTTTAGCTTGACATTTCCATCTTCTTTGCAGGAGGGAGGAGGAGATAATTTATTGCTAAACTTATTCAACTGAAAAATAAAAACTAAACTCCCAAAATCTAATAACTCCCAAATCTAGTAACAGAGCTACAGTGAAAGCAAGTTTCCAAACCTCAGTGTATCTTTACTAAAAAGTGGGTAATTTTCCATTGCCTCAAACATTTGCTTTTTAAAGAATTCTCTTCTGTGCCATGATTTTGCAAATACATATTGCTTCTTTCTTGGATTTAACAAACTATACAAAACAAACTACTGCTTCATTCTTCCTCAATTACTTATTTTCTGCAGCAGGAAAATTCCACCATACTGTGTATGACCCTGAAGGAGCAGCAATCCACTGCAGATAGGGAGCCTGTTTGGTCAAAGTGAAAAATTCTTCAGGATACAGGCTGGGTGTCAGCTGAAGACAGGGCTGGCAGTAGTTGCATGCAGTTTCTCCTACGACTTAAGTAATTCTTTTTGTTTATGTATTCACAAGCTGACCTATGCAGAGCTCAGGAATAACCTTCACCACTTTCTTTAGAAATTTCTTCTGTAGTATGTGGCTTTTTTTTGCACACCTGCTATAAAATCTCTGCGTTTCAGATCTGAGGCAATGACAAGTATAGGGTATAAATAATAACTTATGTCAGCAAAGCATATCACTGTGAAAAATATTTGTAAAGTATTTGTGCTCATTTTCTTTTGGATATCTTATAAACTAGTATTCTTTTTGCAAATTTTTGTTCTTGCAGAAGTCCTCATTGTAAAAGAGGTCAAGAGTAATCTTGATTTTGGGATTTAATTAGCATCGATGGCATTTATCTGGCATTCAGTGTGTATCATTATTGCCAGAGTGTTAAGGTTCAGTGGTGGAACAGAAATATCAGGACAAGCAGCACCAGCAGTTATCTGCATCTCCCGTCCTACACATTATGTATGCATTCCATGGCATGCTTTGTATTTTACAGAACATGATATGGCTGCTTAAATTTGTAGAATTCTCGTTAGAGATAAATAATACAAAACACGTGGACATTGTCTGATAGCTGTCTTGAGATATTATGGATATATTGTCACCTACCCTTGGGATTACACTAAACCAAATTATGCACCCTTATCATCCATCCTTACTTCAGTGAAAAGCATGGCCATCTTCACCCCTTTAGTTTTTAAACTTCAATTTCTTTAAAGCCCAGAGATTAATGGCATAAGTCTTTTCCAGAGAACAGTAACTGCTTTGCTTAGTTGGGTTTTTTCTTCCCTGAATATGGTGGGCTCCACTGCTAGGACTGGCTTCATTCCTTCTTGATGTAAGTTTAACCTTTCCCAGTTCACTAAAATTCTGCTAAAGTTCTTCTTTGCAGGATCCCACAGTGTTTTGAAGAGGCTATGTATATTCTATTTGTGCAATTCACGGGTGCAACACATAAATATTAAGGCATTCTCAGATCACCATCCTGGAGAGTCACAGCCACAAATAATCCCCTTACTCTCTTTTCAACTTTACTCTGCCTCTATGGCCAACCTTAGAGAAGGAACTGAATGCTCCTAAAAATAATATTCTGGCTTATATTTATATATTTCAGTGGGATTAATTTGTAATAAGGAGAAACTTGCAAAACAAGCTCATATTGGCATGAAATTCACAACCTGGGCCTACCAAGTCATGGCTCAGTCTCTTCCCAAAGCCTTTGAGACCAAATTGAACTTTGCATGCAGTATCTCGCCTAGAAGAAGTGATGACAATTTTCCAGTTGTCTGTGACTGTGATTCTGACTCTCCCTTCTAATCAGGAGTAATGAAATTCAAGAAAGTGTGAATGGCAAGTAATTTCTGATACTTATTTAAACATTTTTGCCAGGAACCATTTGAAATTGGTGATTTAACTGGTGATTCATTCAGGCTCATCTTCATTTCCTCTGAAAGTAATGCTAGAGGACAATTAACTTTGATGCCTTAGAGTTGTATCTTTCAACTTTTCCCTTTAATTTCAGTGTTGCCAAAGTAAAATTGAGGGCTAATTCCTATCTAAGGTGGTCACAAACATCTATAATAACAGAGCCAGACATATGGGAAGATAACTTGGATTATTGTAGGAAGACAGATTTTTACTTGAGTTCATGATGCTTAGTTCTGGGAGTGGGAACTGTAGAAAGTTATGAGCCACCCATTGCTGGTGTGACATTTACTGATAGCAGACCAAAGGGACAGAGCTTCTCAGTAGAGTGCAGTTTTCATTTCAGCATTATGAATGCTGAGAATTGCTGCTTGTCTTGTTTCAAACTTCTCTGTTCTGGATGCTGGATAAAAATATTTAGTCCTTCTAAAATGTGAAGATTGACCACCTCAAAACCTGCACTCCTGTGGAAATGGACAAATATCCATCCTCTGGGTGCAAATGCTTTTTGTGTAGCTCTGTAATACTGTTTTAGTGTTGTCTTAAAAAGTTTATCTGAAGAGACTCGTACAAGCATTCTGCACTAATAAGATTACAACCTTGCACTATCAACAATGGTTGCTTAGCATTAAAATAATTTTGGATGCCATTAAAGGATACAGAGCTCTATCAGTGTTTAGAGCATTGAGATATTTGTGAATCTGAACCTGTTTGTATAAAATTTCTTACAGACAAAGGATAATCTAGTTAATGACAGTATTTCCATTTTAGTAATACACAGAGGAGCTAAGGCAGTGTCCCTAGAGATTTCTGTTAACTTAATGGTTAAGAGATTAATTTTACTGGTCTAAATCTGAACATTATTTTAAAACATCTGCCTATGATCTACTGGGAAGGGACAGGGCAGGTTAGAGTTTTACTGTCAGATGGCATGAACAGAAAAGCTCAGAAAGCATATAAGCCAGGATCTTCCCACACTGAAATCAAGGGATTAATTGCAAAATTACATCTGATTACTTGTCCTGTAACTAGCTGTTCAGCAAAGGAATCCATCTGCCAACAGAAGCAGAGTCCATACAAACTATCACATGCTGCATTTCAGTTTTTTTTATTGGGATTTATTTGGCTGACTTAGTGGTCTGGAAGTTCCAGTAAGTACCTCTGTTTGAAAGTTGCTACTTCAGTTATGATTGCTT